GACATTATCAACTAATCAAAGTTATGACTTTTTGAGCCAAATTTGTTCAAAAAATATCCACCTTTTCACATAGTTGTCTGAATGAGTGAAAGATGAAAGAAGTGAAGTGGAAAATAACGCCCACAAGTAACTCCGTCTACTCTAATTTTGGCGTCGCAAATCTCCAATGCCACGAAATTAATGACGAGTTACTGAAGTTACTGAGTTACATGATCGCCATTGCTTCTGTTCTGGGTCTCACTAGAGAAAGGCCTTCTAAGTCTGTGCTTACAGCTATCACAATGATGCTTTTAAAGAATGCACTACCACGGCTTTAGACCCTCGTCTCATCCATTATCAAGCCACTCTCAGAAATCGGTCGTTTTATTGCCTTCATGAAGCGATTCGGAGTAACACTACAAATCGACACGACAAAGTGCCGCATCATCAGGAAATTGCAGTAAATCTAATGGCAGTTAATAAAATGCGCTTTTGGCGCAACTAAACGGTTATGAAATGTAGTGCAGTTGGCATAGATTTCAGCCTACTTTTTAACCGATTTGGGATTTTTGACTAGCATATTCGTATGCTTTGTGCAGTTTACGTGATACAGTTTGAAACCAACAATGGTGTGAATCTCAAGATCTGGCTTAAAGCCTTTTCATACTTTAAAGACTGAGGTGGAGTTTTCGATTTAATCGCCCCTCTGAAACGCTCACTTTATTTTGGATGCATAATTAAGTAGTCGAGAAACCGAGCAGAAGATTAATCCTCCAGTGGAAGAAGTTTTTAATGTCAGCCATCTCAGAAGGTGCACCAGATACTGTCGAACAAATTAACTGACGCGCATGAAACTACTTCTGCTCGATTAGTTAATGGAAGACACTTGTTCTTCTTCCAAACTCCATCCGCAGAATGACTAGAATCCAACTGGTGTCGAGAGTTCGCAGTGTTGGAAGCCGTGGCTAATCTTACAATAGGAAGTCACTACAAACCAAGCTCAAAGTAATGACTGCAACCTAAATGATTTTGATTTTGCAAGTATCAGACACTCAGCGACTCACAACTGGGCATCTTCTTAATATGGCAAGAGTCGAGCCACGTTCACTTTCCTCCTTATCCATTTCCACCTGATACTTCCGCAAAGGATGACTGACAATGCAACATCTGCTTGGCAAACGGGGAAATATTAACTTGGGGTTGGATGATATCAGACAGCTAAGATTGTGATATTTATCCATTTGTTACGCTTCTTTCAAGAAAATGAGTTTTCAGCGCCTTTCTAAACCACCACTTCACCTTCCAGATATTCAACACTGACGAAGGCATTCAAGTGAGACGTTCAAACGGAAGTACTCTAAATAAAGGTGCCAGAGCGAGATGCTCTTCAAATGCTAAGTAAGTTCAACCTTATAAGCCAAACTTGAGATTCATGAAAACAAGTTAAAATCAGTGCAATGTGGATCCGCCTGAACTGTTGCCTTAGTCCCTTTTAAACACGTTTCTGGAAGGCATTTGAGCAACCGTGAGGCCTTCCTCTAACTTTACTAGGTTTCTGTCTCGCTACCATCATGACAATGTTTTAGACGGCATTTTATTGAAGTCTATGTCCGCCACCAGCTTTAGCCTTGCGTCAAAATTCGGAGGCATATTTTGTGCTGCTTTACTGGAACAGAAATTTCACAGTAATCCGAATCCTGTCGATATTAAAACGTGAACAAAGCACTCAAACAAGAGGTAAGCTACCTACTTAATCTTTAAACTTTTAACCTTGTAGCCATATAGTTGTTGGTCGGGTTTCCTTTATCAAACTGCTCATTACAACATGACGACCTTGTAGATGAACCGCTAAATTACAGACGATTCGCATTCTCATTTGGTGAAATTTATAAAGTTGTGAATTGACAGCATATCACAAGAGCGACGCATTAGTGTCTGTTGTAGGTCTATTTTACCATTCGTCAACAACTTTAGCACTACCTTAAAGCAATAGATTACCCCACTCCGATGAAGTATAATACATTGTGAGAGAAGAGAAGGGCTGAAACAAGATTGTACACTTAATTTTGCAATTTCATGAACGAATGGCGATTCGGACGAAAAGCGTTCTGAGCACAACCATTACGACTCATATCCACTAGTTAAATCCTATTGTTATACGCACAAACGATCGCTCACGAAGGTGAAACATACATCTTACCTTATTCACTGCACACTAACGAAAGACGCCGACCTGATGCTGAGCAACCATCTCCCAAACCTCAACAGACAAGTGTTTGTATCCATTGATTGGTATTCATAAGTATCATACTAGTAAATGACCTCGGGAAAAAATAAGGAAAGCAAAGCTGCAGAAGAAAAGAATACAACAGCCCCATAGCCCACGTCGTTCGTAAATAAAAAACAGTCGTAATCTGCTTGGAGAATTGGATGGTGTACGCCTTCGACACTGACCTACAACAGGTAGTGAGGCTCTCGGTCATCCGCAGTAAAATGAAGGAATACACACTATAAAATGGGGGATGAGATGACAGTAGAGACAGCTACGCAGGAGGATATGAAGGAGGAGGTTGAGGCGGCGCTCCCCACCCGGACCCCAGAGTGGGGTTGGAAGGTGTTGGATAGGGGAGATTTGTAGCCGGAGGGGTCACACCTGGATATGGCGGCGGCTGGATACCCGACGGGACCGATGCAGGATAAGGCGGTGGCTGATCCTTAACAAAAGAGGTAAGTGATAACATCAAATGAGGATTCAACAGCCAAACGCAAAAGCCAGTCACACATTTATGCAAGAAAATGAAAGGGAATTTGCCATCACCAAAGTGACCGGTTCTCAGTTAAAGACATTCATGTGCAATGAATGGCCCAGTTCTCCTGCATGTGTCCTAAGTCGTAAATATGCAGCACATATTCGTTCCAAGCCTACTTCATACAAAAAAATGTTGAAATGCAATAGCTACATTTGACTCACTGGTTGAACAGCTACAGGTAGTACCTTAGATTAGTAAATGTCGAAAAAAGACCTGATTCCAAAAAAATAATTTTATAGAATAACGCGACAGCGGAAGAAATCAATGGCAGTCAAAAAATGAGAGCAAACGGTGATTGTAAACAGTCGCGACTTCATATATACAAATTGCTCATCAAGAAGGCAGAGGCGAATTGCCAACCCGTCACGTGACTTGATCGCTATGGCATTCCTTTTCAAGTGAACCAACATAAAATATACTTCTAAATTTCGATTCAAGGCAAAACTGGTAGGCAGACGCTAGCTCGAATAAAATGTTTACCTAGAACAATGATTAACATGATGTTAGCGAAGCAGAAGTCTCGTAAGGTTCAAGGACAACCCTACAGCTAATCAACGAGAGGAAAAAAACAAGGAGTCAATATAGGTGCCTCTCAAAAATGTGCTCAAAGTGGATTAAAGCAGCAGCTGCAGGGCTTCATTTAACCTTAGCAAACAAATGCATCCATATGCAAACAAAGACCTTCGTTGTACTGACATCAGGTGGCGCATTGTATCAATTTACCAATGTACCACCTAGCTAAAATATAGTTAATTGGGTCGATTCATACTACTGAGAAAATCTTTAAGTAGCCTAGGGTTCAGACTCCAGCATCACTGACTGCCCAGTTCTTCTATGCAATGATAGTGAGGCTACCTCCAAACCCGCTCTATCTGCATTACCTTTGCAGTGATTGGAGCCAGATTCAGTGAGGTTTCTCAATAGGACTCCTGCTAAAGTGCTCAACTCTGTGCACATCCACCAAAAGTAACTACTAACCCTAGGGTTTTACAAGAGGTAGGCAATAGCGAGAATTTAGAAACAAGATGCCCCTCGACTCAAGTGATAGCGTGGTACTAATTGAATTTAGAGACACTGGATAGCCAGTTTCCGATTTTGGGTCATCCAGAACGCGTTCCCAACCTTAAGCTGTTGAATAAGTTGAAATAGAAATTTGTCATCGGTATTAAATTATTTCGAGAAATGAATGAGAAGAGACGTAAGTAGTTTGAAGGTCATAGCCATTTTATCGGTATCCAGTTCTAAGTAATTGCCCCAAAATGATTGGGTAGCAAGGAAACAACAGGCTTTGCAATGGAACAATTAAAGTTACGCAGACCTAAAACCGAAAGGCTAGTAAAAATGCGTCAATTTTCACAGCTACTTCCATTTTAGATTTAAATTATGAAAAAAATGAGAGGTTTGGGATAAAAGGATTATAATTGAAAACCACTCACAGGGAAAGTAATACCTCAAGTCTACTAATAACCAACGAAAGCGCCGCTAAGGATGGTTTCAAATGTCTTCATGGCGTGATGAAAAAGATACCGCCTATTCAGTACAGAAGTCATGCGCTGTAAACCACTGAATTTAGAGGTATTTGCGGCGACAGAACTTCGGAATTTGCATTCACTAATGAGGATTATCCAAACTTCGTGATCAGGGTTGAAGACTTGGAATCGCATAATATAGCTTTCCCTCATTTACACATGATTATAAGCAAAGTAGTTGAAAATTTGGCACCTCCCCAGTGCGCCTGCCAACCAAGTTAAACGCATATAAGCAAACGGAAAGGAGTAAAAAAGCAAAATTATAAGCTCACAAGGTTGTCACGGTCTACAAACTTTGCTAAACAGCTGTCTTTCAGAGTTTTCTTCCTACAACGATAGTCTAATGAAGTGAATGCACTGCCCGAAGTGTAAACAGTCCTCATTTTGGTAATCTTTCACCACGCCTGGAGTCTTGCAAAATGGAAACCACTGTAATAAATAGCTGAGCCTACAAGTATTCAATAAATGGGATCCGACTTTGGGCAAGGCCTCAATATGGATGATCGATGACGGGTCCATTGAAGGATGAGAACCTAACGCTGTCTCGCCCCAAGCCGCTTTTAGATAATTGTTCCTTCTCAAAATGATTGGCAAAAGGAGCATCACGAGGCCCTAATGCCTTGCCGCAGGTTGTGGCAATAGCCAGAATTATAAACAAAATCTATGGAAAGTGTCACAGCCATCAAGCAGAAGGACCCGTTGCAAACAGCTTTCAAGGGTGGCCTCAATAAACGTTGGATGGGGATCGCGGAGTGGGGTGAAAAACATCGATAAGTATCAGGCGAACTCACTGGGTATGCATTAGATTTGGAAACTGGCACCGGATAAGTGGGCACATTCGGATCCAATGCAGGCGCATAGCCCCCCACAGTGACAAAATTCGGTGGTGGAGGCGGTTGCGATGGCACGCTGAATACCTCATCTGGCATGGGTGATGACTGCTTACGACGACGCCGAAGGCAACAGAAGTAGGCCAATAATCCAATGCCCAATATCATCAGAAGAGTTCCGAAGAGAGAACCAATTATCGTACCTCGTGGTTGAGAGTAGCTGTAACTGAATAAAAGAAATGAGGTAATGTCTATTAATCGTAGCAGCTGTCAAGTTTATCAAAAGAAGATAAAGGAAGCTTTTCAAAGAGTGAAAACTGTATTGGTGTTCCCACTGTTTTTCTCATACTCAGCCACGTCCCCCTTAATCTGCCAGTACATCAATAACATAAAAAATTAGGATAACCATTCAAGGACTAAAAAGTGTTGTACCTCCACTCCCTCAAGAAGAATACGCGTTGTGTTAGATTTCGCGTCAATATTGATGTGTAGCACATTTTTCACAAAACAGACCATTTTATGAGCCGGTCATGTGAATCAAAGCGCTGTACATTTATGTGCTCGCCCTGTAAGGTGAAAATGTATAGAATTATGCTTTCAGTACCTGAAAAAAATATGCCATCAGGCTCATATTTGATGCCTCTGCTGTTTATACACATTGAAAAACCCAGCTACCTGCCACTTTAATTAGGAGCATCTCGCAAATCCTTAGAGAATCCATATGTATGGTAAACAGTGAAGCCCTATCCCGTTTATTGGCAAAATAACTGTTGTATCAGACATCACGTGGGCTGGTTCATTCACACTCACACTGAAGCTTAGAAAAAAAGTGGAACTGAATTGCATCAAATTTTTTTTAACAAATAAACCAATAGAATGTATTAGGTCCCTATTAAGCTCTTGACAAAACAAAAGGTGTTCGTGCTGAAGACTTGTAGGAGGACTCAGATCAAAACCCGTCAGAAGGACGATTAAATCGGAATTAAATAGTTGAATCCACATCAGATCTGACATTTCCAGTCTTCTTTATAAGACTAAGCCTTACCTGGCTATGACAATATAACTTACGAGGCTTATAAAACGATTGACTTTCGACAACAGAAGATCTCGCATAATTAAACAGACTTAATGGCAAGGATACCCCTGGGTGAAAATCCCCTGAAGCAACTAAGCACCGGGAATTTGACATACCACACCCAAAACGAATCCATGCGCTATTTTCACAATGCACTATAATTAAGCAAATCAGGGCATTGGTGGAATAGTTTTGGATGGGTAAGAATGAGCGGCATCGCTCTTGTAAACAAGGAGAGTGAAATATTACATTTTTGCTATCATGACGCATGCACACAAAAACCAACCAGAATTTCATTAAATAAACTTACAAACGACGTGGGCGTTTCAAAGACCTTTAAGAAACGAACTACTAGAAGTGACATTTTACCGACTGATAAGAAACGACTGTGAGACTATCTGAAACCCCTTAGATTATCGATGGACATAGAGCATATTGCCAAGGTCAAAGGAGAAAACAGACCACCACAACCCTTGCGTTACTGGCCTGAAATGTGTTGTATCTAGTACAAGGCCTAAACCTGGCGCTATTAACTATTCGGCACGATTAAGGCATGCGAGAAGTGGGATTCATAAATCCATCCCATTACCACATTTTACAAATCTTGTAACCAAGTGTGGGAATAAAACGCTGAAAGTGATCAGACTGAGGAAGTGGCAAAACCAAATTGGCGCTGTTGTAGCATTCACGCACTTTATTCCGGAAGCGCCCAAACCACTGGTGTTGGATAGAATGTTGTGAGAATTAAGTAACAAGATAAAGGTGAATCCTCTGCTTTATCAAAATGGGGTAAGTTTCAGAGGTTGTAAGCGTACTTTGTTGATTCTCAAAATGAAGCAGAAGGCTGATTATGCCTCATAAACAAACCGCAGGTACGACTTCTAGCCCTGTTTACCTGAACTTGGTGTCGCACATGCGACATGTGTCCCAAATTAGCATAAGGCAAATGACTGCATAAAATTGTGTAAAAACTAAAGACGAACTAATTCCAAACTAATGGGAAATGATTAGGTCAAACATGGATCAGAGAGATACATGTTTTTTTTCCTTTGAAAAGAGCTTAATAGGGTTTAACAATCCTGGTCAAAACAGTAACATTTAGAGACTACCGTAAGTATCTCACCAAGAAGCTGAGAGTTAGTTAGAATATGATTGAATAACTGCATCTGGATTGCAAACAGCAAACACCTTCAATGAATACAATAAACCAAACCCTTGCAGAGAAACAGATCCGAGTTCAATTATCCTTGAAAAGAGTAGTTATTCAAATTAAATGGCCTGAAGGTTAAGTGCTATTTATTCCTGACATTGGTAAACGGCTAGTCTGGATGTCAATGCGATATGTTCAGCCGGCAAAAACGGTAATATTCAGTTATAAAAACCGCTGCAAAAATTTGGAAAAACTCACTAAGATCGCCCTGCACAGCATCTTTCGCCTTCATAGAGCTCACTTCGACAGCAATATCGAAGATGACTAGGACACACGGTGTACATATACTCCCTCGGGACTCCAAATGAATCAATTTCGACTCTCCGTCCCTCACAAATCGTGTATCGAGCTGGAAAGCAAATGAAAAACCTCAATTTTCACCAATTTTACTCAGGTATGCATGATATTTCGCATATTTGCCAGTATGCAAGAGAACTATCTTAAAATAATCCCTCAAATATGCGTCTTTATCACAGTAATTACCAATCAGCACTAATAGCAACAATAATTACGAAAAGACTCACGGCGATAATAAATGTTATAAAGCTATTACAGGACAAATATGAAAAGAATGGAATGTGCATATGTGTTTGGATCAACTAAGGTAGGGAATTCGAGGCATAACTAACTGGTATTAATTCCATATAAGAAAGGTTTCGCGAAAGCCACATGGAAACGACTTACAAATATCCCGATTTGACGCCAGTTTGAAGCCTATGTACACAGCAGCCATGCTACCCGCTGCGAGGAGTAACTTCTTGTTAAGAGAACTAAAAAAAATTAGACAAGCGATCAAAAGCACCAGAATCAAAAAACAAAATACGGACTCGCACCACATCTTTTAAGTCAAGAGCCCATTATAAACCATAAAATACAACAACAAAACAATTAGGCATCGGTAAATATGCTCCACTTACAGACCAGAACTTGACTTAAGATTCGAAAATGAAGATTTGTATTTACGAGAAGGCGACCGAACTTTAGGACGGCTACCCCTAGAATTAACGTCTAAAGAAATGAACGGAATCCCAACTCACCATAGATACCAGCGACGAGTAAAATCAAAAGGATTACGAAGCACAGTCGCATAATCAACAAATCTAACAGAAATCCCACCTAAATGAGCGCTCTAAGACCAATTACGTACAGGAATAGGCACTGATTGATACAAACAAATAAGTGTAAGTCTTCAAAGCCTCACGCTTTTAAATTAAAATCTAGTTAATTCATTTTGAATTATTTTTAGGATTTTACTACTTATGGCGACGCATTCTACGTTGTAGCCTAAATTCATACATCACTGGGCGGCTATTCGAGGGTTCTCGCATCTTCCACTTTATTCTCATTGAGTTTGCATTGGCGCCGTAAGAACCCGCTGTAGCGCCCAAGACTTACCATAGGCTAGTAAAAGGCATGAGTGAGGGTGAATACATGTATTCCGAAAACAGCAGGAGAAATGACCGCCCAACTTCATGTGGTCACATTAACAAAGCATTGCACCTGCAAGTGAGAAACTTTTCTTTAAAGCCAGAACCAGTTTAGATGGCATTATATGACACCCGTCACCAAGCAGGGCTATTCATATGGTAGTGCGCATGGAAGGTGAAGGACTCTTTTCAGCTGTAATGCTTTGTTTATGTGACCACATGAAATTCGGCGGTCATTTTAAGATTTATCTGACCCTTATACACGTAGGCATGTTCCTCAGGTCATGCCCAGGTCCATTTGTCCTGTCGTCTTCGAAATACATGTATCCAGCTGCACTTACTGACTTCTTATACCGGCCAGGAAGTCTTGGGACGCTACATCAGCTTCTTGTAAATGGCGCGATTTTACTTTAGAGTTCTTAGCCTATCCTCACAACTCTTATTTCCTTTGAGAGTAGAAGGTCCGCCAAAGCTATAACTAATGTAGCCTCTCCCTCTTTAGCCGCCAATCATGTCCCACAGTGTTATCTTGGTGATAATTTACTTTGTAATTCTTTAGTTGGTATTAAGTGATTTACAGGCTTGGGTGTGTGAATCGGAATGTTTGAGCAAGCTGCTCAAGCACGAAGTTTTTTGTCCACTCGGAATGTAGTATGCTACCGACAGGTAATTACAAAATGGAGCGATGAAGTCCTAATGCGTGGAACTTTAACTTAATTGTTTCTTTAAGACAGAGTATATTTTGCACAAATTGGGACCTTTTTGTAATATATATTAGTGTTTAAGTTGACCTTTATAAGATGGAGATGCGAATTCCGTGCGTTAGGACCGTGAGGGATCCCTCTCCGGGTGATATCTGCTATTCGGCTCATCTGTACTCCTATCCCCGTTCTTCCTGCATTCAATGCCTAGTAAATCTACTACAAGTAACTTCCTTGAAGTCCGTAATTTAAGGGTATGAGGGTAGACAGGCAGTTTCTACACTGCTCAAAAGGAAAATCCCTGAGGTATTACAGACATGGCTTCATCTGCTTCATAGAACTTAGACGCGGAATCGCGATCCGCGTTTGAAAATGCAGGAGTTAAAAATGTAGTCAATATATCATTATTTGCATCTAACTGCATTTTTCTCTCCAGGGTTAGTGGGCGCCCTACTTTGGAAAGTGCCAACGGGCTCCATGTTTGACTGTTTTTGAAACCTGTGGTCTTGCCATTTTTCTGGCCCCAGTCTGTGTCAAAAGGTCCTATCATCCATCGCTTTTTCCTAAAAGTATGCAGTTTGCTCAAATACCACAAAGAAATTTAACAGCGCAACATCCCATGGTATGAAATTTACTAATTCTTTGCCAACATTCGATTTATTAAAAGACAACTTAGACCTCATTCGGGGAATTGGCCTCTGGACCACGTAATGGCCTCAGTCTGACGCATTTGGTACGAATCACATTCGCATTCCTGTGTTCCCCTTCGTTTCGGCGTCAGGGAGGCCAATTCTGGGGTGACTTTCCAGGGAGGACCCAAGTCCCTTGCTTTTCTTCAAACATGCAGGTCATCTAATTTAACCTTAACTATTGGACATGCTTTTGTTTAATCTTCCCTTTTCTGTTTAACAAACACCTTGTGCCCTGTCTTCTTTAACATCTTGTATTAAATATACCATTAATTGCAAGGTTTAGAACAACTGCTAAATCAAAATTTTTAAGTTGGCTGTGCAAATTCAGTTTTGATGTAAGTTATTGAAGTTTCCATAATATAGACATCAGTTCCTCGTATCAGCCACTAGGAAGGAGAAAGGACCGCTTTCAATAGATAACTGTTAAAGAAATGTATCGAAATCAAATTTGCAGGGAGCGATGATGGTTTTCTTCACGCAGGTCATTGCAGTCACCCTTCTACATGAGAACTTTGGCTGAGATCTACAGCAAAATCGCCGAAGGACCACCGTCATTTCCTTCTATCCTTCCTCTATGATAATGGCAAAAATTTTTTTCAAAATATTACAACATAGCACGACCAGAGGAACGGCTCACTCAATGAAATTTAAGTGAGGACCCCATTTGAACTATTTGGTGGAGCTAGGAACAGCACTGTTGATTTCTCAGGCCCCTCGTTAGTTAATTGAAGGTACAAGGCTTCGCTGAATGCTTGTTGCTTTCGAGAAAGTGTAAGGATGGAGCTTTGGCGCAAGTGGTTGCCAGTAATACGAATAGTCGAATAAACAAAGGACTACAGGCATCATCAAGAGAATTAACATTTTCATTCTAATATTGAATTGTGGCTTTGTGAATTGCAAAATGTGATTTATGTTTAAAAAAGGTGCCTTGTCGAAATCATCCAGGTGTGCCTTGTTCCTGGTTAACACCACGTGGTAAAAGGAGTTGATGACTTCCTTGTTTATTCGACCGTCTGCATGACTGATGGTCAAGCCACAACCCCACTTACAGCCTTTCTCTCTCACTAAAAGTCTGCAGCCAAGTCCAATGCCTATTGGTATTAAATGAGAAGCGCAGGAACGCAGCATTGGTGCCAACAGACAGTGAATTTGACTACGGTACAACTTCTGTCCTAGTTCCCACCGTTTGTCACAAACTTCTGTGGTGAAAATAAAGTCACCTGTTTTAGATGTGAGAATCTCCAACTTCTGCACGGCAGTAAGACTGAGAATGGAGTCCGCGTTTGGCGCCTATCGCATTCCTTTAATCCACAGGCAAGCTGTTCATAACTCACTCGCTCACTAACACGCCCTCCTCACGGGACTGTGCTTGAAGCCCATTTCTCTGCTGTGCATGCACCTGTTTTCTGCAATTGTTCCAATGTCTGTCCTTGAGCACTATTGATGGTCTCAATTGTCGGTCCGAAAGTAGTTTCCGAGAGGGTCGACTACGTTGCCTCAGTCGCATAGGAGCTGATGACTGGGCAGCTGATTGGTGGGTGTCCTCTTGCATTGTCGAAAACGTTGTGATGGCTGGTGTGGGTGTGCGGAGAGGATCGCATTGGACGTTGCTCAAAAAACTGGAGAGGTGACGTAATATTTGGATTGTTTGACTACCAGCATGACTGACCATCACTATGGTTACCATTTTTAGGCAAATCAAAGATCGCCTTTTTTTCTAGCAAATCTCAGGACGCCACAGATGCAATGTTTAGAAACCCTGCCTACTTTTACGATGTGCGTCAAATTTAAGTATAGCATCCATTCCACTGCGTGGGGTTTGATTGCATATTCGCCTAATCAAGTGATCAGTTCTCAATGACAACTCTAGAAGGTAACGGCATGCAACCGCTGTCCTGAGAATTTTTTTACTCTGTGCATACGCGTTGGAGAGAACCTCGAGCCCTTCAAGCAATTTGTGCTAGAGTGTATTTATTCAAATAAACAAAGATCATTATAAATGCAGTATCACGCAGCAGTTTGATAGGCACAACTTCTAATTCGAGTTTTGCCTACGATCAGGCGAAAAGATTCAATTGCTTAACAGTATCGTTGTTGTAAGTGTCAATTAACTAAGATGAAGAAACACTTCTCCAATCCTCAAGGTGACTTATAATATGCAATGACACAACATCGCAAGATTTTATTCTGCTTTTCTTAGACCGGTATTAATGATCAATGAACCAAACAACCATTTAGGTTGATAGCACCTCTGCTTGTACTGTACGCAGAGAAAAAGATATCACCAAAAGGTTCAACTTATTTTACTTTAATTTTTCTCAACACATCCATAAAATCGTATTGAAGATTTACGTCGTTTTGTTTGTCGCACGGAGGTGTGAAGAACACATATTTCGTGGAATAAGAGATTGGGATGGGCCTTGTCAAACTATGCCATCAGATCTTCTCTCGACCATTCTTCTTTCTCCCGTAAACTCTTTGGTTCTAGTCGATGGGCTTGACAATTGGATGGTTGGTTTGGTACACGAATGGGAATTCTGTTTTATCTATACTCAGAAGATAATGCTGTCCGCTCATAATTTCTCTTCTCTCTTCCTTTTAAAAGACGATCCCAACTCTCTCCACAATCAGTCTTAAAGTAGTGATCTTCAGAACTCATCGGAATTGTCATGCTGCTATCCTTTTACGAATGGCTCCTCCGTGGACTACCTTGGGACTTCGGTTGAAAGTCTCTGCCACTACTCTGTGTTTCTCCACCTCACTTTTGGCATCACTTTGCACTTAAAAGGTATTGCTTGGTTTTGTTCTCTCTTCCTCCTCCAAGTACACCCTTAATCTCTCAGCGACATTTGTTGGCCACTGAGTTTTGTGGAGGGCTGAAGTCACATATCACACCTCGTCGCGACTTCATCTTCCTCTTGGTCAATGTAAAATATTGGCAGCTATTGTTAATTTTGTGTGCAACTTGGCGGGCTAATGAAGGCGGTGCATTTGGAGCAAATAGACAAGCAAGCACTCTGTCAACCTTTGAGACAAGGATTTTGTAAACCTTCTTCTGCATCGGTAACAGGTGTTGTTGAACTTCAAATAGATATTCAAAAATACCATTGTGCCTAAATCATCATTTATTTGAGCTGATGTTCCATTCACACAATTGCTGTAACTCTGGACCAATTTCAAAAGTACCTCATGGTAAAAATGCACATGGCAAAGGGAAATCCGAGTCTTCTAACGCGTTCGAATCCGAGCTGTCTCGATCTCTAGTTCAGCGGAAGACTTTGATGACTGTGTCGAGAACTAACGCAAGTGCAGGATGCTGCTCGAGATATAGTTTTCGTCACTACTTTGAAGCCTTAGGCCGGTCATTTGTGTTCTCTTCACTAGGCTCTTGAAGCATTTTTATGTTTGCAATGGTGTCTTCCCTCTTGTCACTGAGACCAATTAACCTCCTAATAGTCAAAAAGTAGAATGTTTTCTTGTATGTCCAAAACGCAGGCACTACTGTCGTGCAGTTTGAACCTCTTCCTGTACAACTTGAATAAAGTTTGGAGGTACGCCCCAGTTTTCACACACGTCCCACAAACGCCTTCTCTAGAAGAGCTGAAATCGAGTCAAGAACCACGAAAAAAACGTCAGAAAGATTAGTACATTTCCGAACTCCTTGTTCCTTCCCACCGCATGGAGTAAAGCTATCTTTTAAACTCATCAACTCGTGGATGCGTTTAAAATGAACAAAATGATATTCGAAGCGACAACATACTTCAGTAATGGAGTAGTCAGGACATCTAACCGCCAATTTCCAACCCAGATGCTGCTTTTCTTTTGGTTATAGCTAAGCGTTAAATTTGGGGTAGCCGAATGTACATTTTCAACAACAGTCAAGTGAAAACGACTTGCACATTAGTGTTGAAATATGTAAAAATTGTGCGGCAGCATCGAATTATAGTGTGAGTTCATCTAGAAAAACGCACGCTTTATTCCTCTGACGATTTCAAGGCAGGAAGAATGGATAAGAGTTTAGCGTTCAGGCGTTTGCACACCATTGAATGGACTTGCTTTCCACCGCACTCAGTGAATTGAGTCGTTCAATGGAAAACACATAAAAGGTTGAGATCACGGAAGTCTACAACTATCACGGTCAATGAACAAACTCCTCTCCTTCTCAGCGTTTCTTACCCAGGCAGAGAAGAGAACAGCCATCCTTGAGAGCAAAATTCTTCCATTTCCTTCAGATTCCTGTCCTTTTCCGGTTTCCCTTTTCCCACCCCCGAACCTCCTCCAGACACCCTGAAAAATGAACTTATTTGTCCCGTGTTTCAGGAGCTGAATCAGAGGCCATTCACAAAACCTTGCAGATCGAATTTGACAACGTTATATGGTATTGATAACGGGACTTTAGAAGGAATAACCAACCATCAGCATTCAAAGAACCTCAACGGCCCAATTTGTACAGGGACAGTCATTATGAATCACAAGTCTGCATATGTGCGCACTGGAAAAATAAAAAATAACGATTGGACAGGCGCACAATCCCCAGTCGAATAGAAAATTGTGTTCCTTAAACATGGTGTTAACCTTGAGCAAATAATTAGATGAAAAACACTATCATACACAGGTGGCCGGATAAACAACGGTCTAACTTCAGTAGTCTGTAGAAGGCGTTCACACGATTTCCTCCGATCCCAATCGTATATCTGGCAGCTTGAAGACACTGTCAATTCTCTTAGTGAAAGCCTTTTACTTCCGATTCAAGAAGACACACCACTGGCCTAACTACAAATTACCCTCCGTCTTTGACTCATTCTTCACCAACAATACCGAATTGAACTCCTTGAAATACCTAAAATAGATACTGAGAAATCAAGCTCAAAAATGAGGCACTCAAAACTGTCAAAATTTATTCGCCACCTTTATTCCATTCTTTGGTGTGACATAGTTAACTGGTTTACAACTGGAAAGCTTCAGCCATCCTGCTATTACCACAGAATTCTGATCATCGAGACGCACTTATTTTTGAAAATGCAGGAGATTGAAGGTTTCAAAATGAGCAATAAAATATCAATGATATGCCAATGCACTCCAAAGCGTGTGATTGTCATGGCACTCACCGTTTTCCTCCACATCAAATATTCTTTGCCAATGTAGACTTTATTCATAAATTGCAGGATCACACATGAGTAACTAACAGATTTGCAAAGCAGCATCGAGTTCACAAACTAAGCTATCAAAGGATTACGAGTTCTTCTTTGAAATCGGCATTGAAACCGTCTTGATTTCTGTGAAGAACTTGAGTCCGTCTTTGCCGCTTTAAACGGAATGCAAACCGATGATTAATAAAAAGATGAATCTTCAGGCTCTTCAACCCAGTTAAGAACCATTCGATGGCTTACTTTTCTCGGCCTACTCCCGAGTGTTTATATCCTCCAAACGGCTGCATTACGGGCGAAGTATTGTAACTGTTGATCCTAAGACAAGTAGATTGATTAAATAAATGAAAAAGAGTAAAGAACACAAACCAGACAGTGCCAGCTTCGAGAGCCTGAGCGACTCGAAAGGCCTTGTCCATGTCAGTGGTAAAGACGCCGCCACCGAGGCCATAATGTGAGGAGTTAGCGCGTTGAATAACCTCTTCAATATCGTGAAACTGCAGGACTACCTGCACCGGTCCAAAGATCTCCTCACTTGCGATTCGCATATCGTCTCTGACGTCACCAAATACGGTGGGTGCGATGTAGAATCCCTTATCGCCCAAACGTCTACCACCAGCCACAAGACGAGCACCCTCCTCTCGACCCGAGGCAATGAATTTCATGATTGTATCAAACTGCGTTTGACTTATCTAAAAATACTTATTGCAATACATTCTGCAATAAAAAGACATGAATAAACGTCAGCATATTTCCACAACCCCTTTAAGCAAGTGATTTGTCAGAAATTGACAGAATGCAGTGCAGCTTAAACAACTGTTCACCAGCCTTAATCAACAACAACCAACCCATCACAGTCGACATAGGTAAAAAGTGCCTGTTCAGAGCCAAATTCCTAAAACTCAAACTCCCTAAACTGCAACATAAAACCGTTCTGTTAAAACCCTCTCAACAGTATGAGAGCTATCCAGTAAAATGGAGATGTCTAACAATTAGAATCACCTCCAATCTCGGTTTCATTTAATAGCTCATTCCCAGATTAAAATAAGCGTCAAAAAAAGCAACCTTTTGAGTGTATTTTTAAAAAATGAATATCTTCTTGAAAGAGGCTAAGAAGTTAAAACGCTGACCAAAAGTGACAAGAGAAAGAGCAAAGCAAATTAGTACCTGGGGACCCTGTTCAACTCCAGATTTGAACGGATCACCGACAACGCGCTGTTCTGCAAGCCGCTTAAAACGTTCCAACATCTCCTCATATACGGACGCCTCCACAAAAGTGCGAGTAGCTGCAACACAACACTGCCCCGCATTTTCCATCACGCCCTCAAATGCCACCGATGCAGCCTTATCAACTAAAACATTGGCTCCAAAAATGCAAAGATGTCACACTGTCAACAACGCAAAGGCACGAGATAACAGAAACCTACGGTCGGCATCGGCAAAGATTATAAGCGGTGACTTGCCGCCCAGTTCCAGATTAACACGCTTAAAAGTACCGGCACCAGCAAGCATAACCGAGTGACCCACAGCAGTACTGCCCGTAAAAGTCACCGCGTCCACGTCAGGGTGACTCGCCAACGCAGCACCGGCCGTTTCACCAAAACCCGGAACCACGTTCACCACACCCGGCGGAAAACCTACAACAATATAAACTATTTCGCTCCCACTTCGCCCGTACTGCATATTTGATGTGTTTTGCGCGATAAGAATGCCACCAAACGGATGCAGCAACGAATGCACCAACTACCAGACCCATGGTGCAACAGC